AGTGAAGAGGTGACGTGACCCTGACGCCAGAGTGAGGCCACTTCTTTTGGGTTAGAGGAAGCAGCAGCAGCAGCAGCCCAACCCCCCTTCTTCAATGAGATTTCTGGTTGCTGCAGTGGTGCTGGTCTGGCCTACATTTGCCAGGACCACCAGCGGTGCACTAGTGACCTCCATTGCGCTCTATACCATTACCTTGAGAGAGAGAGAGAGAGAGAGTGGCCACGGTCGCTGTCAAACTACATAGGCAGCAGCACAGAGCCCCGACTCTAATCGAGTTAGCAGTGTCGAATCGACAGAGAAGAGCAGCCACCAGAGCACCATTCCAATGACGTCAATCACAAGCAGCAGCAGCAGCACCAGCAAGGCACTATATTTGTTTCTGGATCGAAGAGAGAGAGAGAGAGAGAGAGAGAGAGAAAGAGAGAGCGGCGGCGGCGGACTCGGCGACGACGGGCACGGAGGACGTTTCAACGTTGCAACATTGTACAACACTGCTGCTGTACAGTAAATGTTGTACAGCAGCAGTATACTGTACAGCAGTTTCAATGACACAGTGCTAAGAGCAGCTGCAGTGCAACAGAGTAGTAGTGGCACACTGCCTCACTGCCTTCCCGCTACTATTCTTGACCGAATTCGGCTGTGCGCCACCAAACACGATGATGATGGGGTCGGACATGCGCTGGAAGAGAAAGAGGGAAAGAGACAATTCCCTTTTTCTCTCATGAGTGAATCCTGGCGCCAAGACCGAGTGCGAGTAAGAAGAGGAACAGCAGACACGACGACGAAGTAGAAGAAGTAGAAGGCAGCATTCATCCGCTGTACGACGTGCAGGAAGGACTCAGAATGAACTGACGGGAAAAAGACTGCAGTTTTTCTTCATTTCAGCACCTCTTCAACCATCGTGGACATCTGCCGAAACATCTTGAACTTTGAACAGCTTTTAACGTCTCTTTTCTTTCTCATCATCCTCTCATCTCATCGGTGTGTGATCTTCTTCTTCCTCTTTTCATCCTATCCCATCCAGTCTTCTTCTTCTTCTTCTTTTGCGCACAGCTTTCAAGCCGTAAAGTTTCATTCTACTACTACTACCGTAGCAATAATCGTCAGTGCCAATAATAACAAATACTAATCGTCGCTTGGTTTGGGTTTTTGAAGAATCTTCGTATACTTAATTTTGAGGGTAAGTGTGTCTTCAAGTGGGAATCATCAAGATCAGGGAAAGTGATTATTTAGTGTCTAGCTCGGCAAGTCTCTGCTTCTCGTTCTGCTTGCACAAAGAGGATGCACTGTCTGACTGTTCTGTCCATGTCACTATTTTTTTTGCCTGACTGTGCACAAAGCATCATCATCAGCGGCAGCACTTACTTTGATTAGATGGTGATGAACTACTTCTACTGCCGAATCATCATCATCATCATCAGTCAAAAATATAGCTCACCCTCGATCCATTTCTCACTCTGGCTCTGACTATTTAGCAAGATTTTTCTTTTTATTTGTGCACCACCAGAAAAGGGCCATCTCATCTCACTTTCAGGCTGAAAAGTGCCGCCTGCAGGCGGCACTTTTCAGCACATCTGCTATCAATCTCTGACAGAGGCACTAGCTACACTTTAGATAAAGCCTTTTCATCAATATTTGGTTGTTGTGCACTTCTCTGCAGACTGCAGAGTTCTCTCTGTGGTGACATTCAGAGCCAGAATGAGAAATGAATGAAAATATTTGACTTTTCTGCTTTGGTTTTTATGCTTCTTTTTCTGTCTCTAAAACTTCAATTCTGTCTGTTGTGTTTTCAAAACACTGTCTTGTTCAATGTGCTTGGTGTGATGCCAGCTTTTTAGAGAAGGAGAGAGTCGCGTCTGAAAGATTTGCATTTGTACACGGTCTGCTAGGCTGAGGATGTTGTCACAGGCAGAATAAGATGAGAGAGAGAGACTGAGAGAATGAGCCCATCATCATCATCATTACCAGCACCAACATCCACAACAGTCCTCAGTCCTCATCGTTTTGGTGCACTTTCTCTTCTTCTTCTTTTGCTGCACTGATATTTTTAGCCGATCAGCACACACGTCTTTCATTTNGAATAAGATGAGAGAGAGAGACTGAGAGAATGAGCCCATCATCATCATCATTACCAGCACCAACATCCACAACAGTCCTCAGTCCTCATCGTTTTGGTGCACTTTTTCTTCATCTTCTTTTGCTGCACTGATATTTTTAGCCGATCAGCACACACTTCTTTCATTTACACACACACAGTAGAGCAGTAGATAGAAAACAAGAGCCAGCAAAAAAGTGCTGCTGCCAGCGAGACTCCTCTCCTCTTCTTCATTTTCATTTTCTCTTGTTTATTTCGGGCTCTCTCCTCTTTCTATTTTTCCGATGTGATGTGTGTTTGCCATCACTTCAACCTTCTTCATTAGTGTTTGCAGAGTGTCTCACTTTTGCTTTTTTGCTTTTACTTTCTGTCGCCGTCTATTTACTCTGAGAAAGTGAAAGGCCCCAAATGTCTAATGATCAATTTTAGCAATTCCCTCTTTTTCCACTGAACTTCCATTCTTCAAACCAATTCTTTCTATTAGTGAAAACGAAAGCAAACAGACACTTTTCACTCTGATTAATAACANGCTTTTACTTTCTGTCGCCGTCTATTTACTCTGAGAAAGTGAAAGGCCCCGAATGTCTAATGATCAATTTTAGCAATTCCCTCTTTTTCCACTGAACTTCCATTCTTCAAAAAACCAATTCTTTCTATTAGTGAGAGCGAAGNGAAAGGCCCCAAATGTCTAATGATCAATTTTAGCAATTCCCTCTTTTTCCACTGAACTTCCATTCTTCAAACCAATTCTTTCTATTAGTGAAAACGAAAGCAAACAGACACTTTTCACTCTGATTAATAACAGCTTTTTTCCCACTTTTTCCCACTCATCCCTTCAGATCGAACAGACAGACAGACAGACACTTCTTGTCCTCCTCTTTGAAAAACTAGCCAGAGGACAGCTACAGGAAAGAAAGAACATGCCACATCAGCACTTCTGCATCTTAAGCTGAAAACTTCAAGGAAAAATAGGATCTGAAACTGTGAAACATTTTTCAAACTCCTAGCCAATCAATCATCAGCCAGGATGCACGTGGAGGTGCAGGTGGCGCTGAACTTCCTCATCTCCTTCCTCTTCAACAAGCTGCCCCGCCGGCGGGTGGCGCAGTTCGGTGAGGAGCTGGAGGCGACGCTGAAGGCGAAGTTCGCCGGCCACTGGTACCCGGAGGCGCCCAGCAAGGGCTCCGCCTACCGCTGCATCCGCTGCGCCCCGCCCCTCGAGCGGGCCGTCTTCGAGGTGGCCGCCTACCAGGCGGGCATGAGCCTGCTGGACATCGAGGAGACGCTGCCCCACGAGCTGACCATCTGGGTCGACCCGGGCGAGGTCAGCTACCGCCTGAGGGAAGGCTGTCCGGTGAAGCTGCTGTACAGCACGAGGAATGGAGGAGGAAATGGGGGCGTGGCTGCTGCTGCTGCTGCTGCTGTCAATGGAGGTGCCATCGAGCCCCTTGGAAGTACCACTTTGAACCCTGAGGCCCAGTGCTTTAGGCCTATCGTCGAGCAGCNGCTGCTGTCAATGGAGGTGCCATCGAGCCCCTTGGAAGTACCACTTTGAATCCTGAGGCCCAGTGCTTTAGGCCTATCGTCGAGCAGCAGCAGCAGCAGCAGCATAATCAGCATCACCTGAATGGACTGCACCACCATCTGTCGAACTCCCAGAACTCCCATCAGCACCACCATCAGCACCACCAGCAAAACAACGGTTTTCTGCCGTCTCCCGTCTCTCCGGGGGCTCTTCCCTCTCCGCCATCGTTGAGCGCCTATCTGCCCAGTTCGGCGACTGCAACTGCAGTCCTGCCGAGCCCAGCTGCTAAAAACCACCATCACCACCATCAGCAGCCACAGCAACAGCAGCATCCGGTGACCTTCACCACGGCCGCTTTTGCAGCGACCAAGTTTGGCTCGACTAAACTCAAAACCAATGGTGGCGGTGGTGGTGGTGGAAAGAAAAATGGCAGTGGAAGCAATGGCAGCAATGGAGTGATCAGCATCGGCGGTCTCAGCAATGGCAACCAGCACCGAAACGGCTCGCCCACCGACTTTGGACTGTTTGGAGCAAGTCACGGAGCGAAGCTTGGACAGCAGCAGCAGCAGCATACAAAAAGTCTGAACGGTTCCAGTATTCTCGGAGGAGGAGGAGGAGGAGGAGGACAGCACAGCTGGTCGGTGAATGGAAACGGAATGATCAATCACCATCAGCAGCAGCAGCAGCAGAACAACCAACAACACCGACAGCAGCAGGCACTTCATCATCATCAGCAGCAGCAACAGCAGGCATTTCATCATCAGCAGGCACTTCGAAACGGCAGCGGCGGCTCCACTTCGCCAAATAACAGCAACTTCTTTTCTGCAAATTCAAATTCAACACCTTCACCACTGCAGCAGCAGCAGCAGCAGCACTCCCACCACGCCCTCCTTGGCAACGGCCAACAGCCCACCGCCCTTGACCTGCTTGACTTTGCCGACCTTGAGGGCTGCTGGAAGATTGGCCTCAGTAATGGCAGCAATGGAAACAATGGCAATGGCAGCAATAACGGCAACAACAACCTAATCAATTCGAGTGTTTACCAGCAGCAGCAGCAGCACTCTCAGCAGCTGGATCAGCCTGCATCGAGCATTTGGGCATCGAGCAACAGCAGCAGCAGCAACAGTGGACTGATGAATGGAACAGGAAAAAAGATGGATTTGAATGGCTTCGGAAACGGTGGCTGTGGTGGTGGAAACCTCGGAAACGCTTTTGAGAACCTCCTCCTTTTTGGAGATCCTTTCGGAGAGCAGAACGGCAAGTCCAATGGACATCAGCAGCAGCAGCAGCAGCAGCAAAACCAGCTAGGCCTGCTGGACAACGCCCAGCTGGCGCTCCTTTCCGAGCGTCTCTGGGACGAAATTTTCAGCATCAGTCCGGAGGAGAATGGAGCGACGGCCATGGCTACCACGACCAACAACTCAGCATCTGTTAATGCCTGCTTGGGCAGCATTCTCGGCGAACTGGGCGAAATCGGAGGAGGAGGAGGAAGTGGTGGAAAAACGCCCACTTCCGCTACCACCACCACCACCAACGGAGGAGGAGCCGAATCGGAGGTAATGCCGATCTTCTGCTCCTCAGCTTCCTCCTCCTTTTCGCTCTCCTCGATGTCCTCACCCTCGCTCTCCACCACCAGCAACAGCTCCACCGAGTCTCACTCGCCGCCTCAACTGCAACAGCTGGTCAATGAGTTTGACAGTCTCAGCTTGAACTCCAACAACTCCAGCGCCTCCTCCACCAATGTCGGCTTATCAGTGTCATGCGTCAATTGAAACAGGAGGTGAAACTCTCATGGTAAAGAAAAAAGTTAAAGAACAACTAACAGCTATTAATACAAAACCTCAACAGTACAAAAAGATGAGAAGTAGAACTTTGAACTTTCAAAGATGTGCTGTGAATGGATTACTTCTCTGCAGAATGAGCACTTCTTCTTTTTCTCCTTCCTGACAGACTTGTGAGAATCCTGAAGATTAGTACCTCTTCTTCTTCTTATCTCTACTAATCACCCCTACAGCTAATCAGTGAATGACTGACTGAGTGAATGAACTACTAATGAACTAATTTAGGTGATGCGAAACACAGAAAAAAGTCTTCTTTCATACAATTTTATTTTTTCCTCCTCTTTTTTATCCTTTTCGTTACTCCCAACTCTTGTTACTACACTTCAACCACCACAACCACAACTATCACTCCACTTCACTCGAAGGCTTTTGTTACCTTTTCTTTCCCTTTCCTTTTCCTCTCCTCTTTTCACTTTTTATTTTCCCACCTTTTTCAGGATAATTCTACTATATTCTTTATTATCTACTTATGTTATTTTATCTCTTTCTTTCTATCTATTCTATTCTATCGAACTCTATATTTTAATCTTCTTCTAATAAGTTTTTCTATTTTTGTATTTGTTTTGCCTTTTCTCATTTCTATTTCTCTCTCTCTCTCTGCTCTCCGACCGTCTCTGTCTCCTCGCTTTTCCCTCATCCCACTTCCTTCACTTCCGGTCTGTCGGTTAGCTTGTTCGCTCGTTTTCGATCGATCCTTCACCTTCACAATTTTACTTTCACTTTGACTTTCACCTCTTTTTGCTCCTCTCTTTGAAACCTTTTCAGCTTTAGTTTTGTATCCTTGAATATTTTTATATCTCTCTTTTTCCTCTTTTCTTCACTCACTCACTCTTTATTTTACTCTCTTTTCCTTTGAAAAATAATAATAAACTTTCTATTTTACTACTACCACTACCACTACCATTACCATTACCATTATTATTATTACCACATATGCTAATTACTATTCTATTCAATTCTCTGTATGTTCTTCAACCAAAGAATATTCTTCTCTTTTTCTCCTTTGTCTTGTAATTTATGCCAATGTTCCCCCTGCCCCTGTCTTACTTTTTTTCCCGAAATGACACACAAACACAGACCTTTTCTCTATTTACACTAATGTTATCACAACAACAACAACAATAATGTTTGCATCTTCTATTCTTTGAATACGTACTTTTACAGCAACAAAGCAAAAAAGAACTTCAGCAGAATCGACTGATTGGAGCAGCACTTTTTGCGAATAATTTCTTTGAAATCCTCCATTACCACCAGCACAAACAACTGTTTCCTCTCCTCACATTTTCAACAAAAACAAAGATTACTGGCCAACACCTCTGTCCGATTACCTTTTTGCTTTTTTTTCTTGTCAGATCTCATCATCATCATTGACTGTGTAACCTTTTCCTTCTTTTTCTTGGCCTCTGAAACCTTTTTCGTCTTTGTCTTCTTGTTACCTTCTTCAGTTGTGATACACATCTCTTCTCTCATCTCCTTTTGTCTTCTCTCTTTTGTCACTACCACCAGCAACTTTATTTTCGCAATCTGTTCTTGTTCAACTCTCTGTTGTTTCGTCTTTTTCTAACTTTGAACCTTTTTACTCCTGCTAGTAGCTAAAAAGTGTTGTTCTCGCGTTGAGTCTCTTCACTCACACTCAAAGAGAACCCAGAAAAACAAACTTTGTGCACTTCACTTTCCAGCTTTCTTTGTCACACACACAGCTCAAAACTCTCAGCAACTTCAGCAGCAACTGTTTTTGAAAAAAACTCACTATCATTACCACCAAAATCTAAAAATCAGCCTGAACCATGTTTTGTCTGCTGAATACTTTTTACCTCGCACTCCCACTTTCAAATCAGTCCACCCAGCCCACTCAATGTTTCGTTTGCTTCGAGTGTCCTTTCCCTGTTTGCTACTCGCCACTGACTTTTTTTAGATTAACGAAAATTCAAAACACACACACACTAAAAACACACTGATGACTTATCAATTTTTTCCAAAGCAGCAATAAAAGTCTATATTCTTCTTACCCAGTCAATGAATCAACTTTTGGCTTTAGTGTGCGCTTGAAGATGAAAGAAAGTGACCTTCAATGGATAGAAAGAGAGAGAGAGAGAGAGAGAGAGAGATAGAATTGTCCTTCACTTGCCCCACTACCCTCGCTTTGCATTCACCATCATTAGTTCTTCTTCTTCTTCTTCTTCTTTCTACTTTTTGCTTTTCGTTGTGTGTGTGTTTGCTTTGCGTGCTCTTTGGATCTTTGCCGTTGCCGCCGCTTGGCAATGAAAAAAAGTATGGCGACGGCGAAGGCCCATCCTAGTAGTATAGTGCACCGGAAGAGCGCTGAGGAATACGAATGCACACAGACACACAGACTCAGACTGTACTCCAAGCTCCTCGCTCCAAAATGGTACCGCTCGCCAGTGGCCTTGACATATTTGGTGCTGCTGCTGCTGCTGCTGAGTCGACTCGGATTCACTCGGCTCCCTCGGCTCGGCGTGGAATCTCGAATATTCTCGGCCCTCTCTGACAAAAGAAATCTCTGATGATTTTTGCTCTGCGACTTTGTGTTGCAATGATAAGTGGATTCTTAGTAGCAGCAGAGATTTGTAATTCAAAGTAAGTGCAATTAGGAGCAATTGTTTTACCGGAAGAAAAACCAAGGCAGCCGTTCTTCCGTTTTCACTGGAAGCGCTGTCTGCTGACCAGAATCTTCTGAGCCGGCTGTTTTTTTGGCTGCTCTACCTCTACTCTGTTCTCGCAAAAAAGTGTGTTCTAGTGTGTTCCAAAAGCTTGAAAGAGCAAAAGTTAGGCACATAGTATATATTCGCAGCCGAATCAGAATCAGAATCAGAATCTGCTACGCACCGCAACCACAAGATGGCCAAGGCAGCGTTGTACAAAAACGCAAAAAAGCTGGTACGGGTGAATTCGAGTTGTTTTTCGGTTTTCGTTCAGACAGTTTCCTGTAGCTGCTGATGTGCTGAACTGAACTGAACATCGTCGCCGCCGCCGTTACACCGGTTGCACACGGCGACAACAACAACGGCAGTTCTTGGCAAGCAAAAAACGAGGGCGACTTGAGAGAGAGAAAGAGAGAATGAGAGAGAGAGAGAGTTGTTGTGTCAGCAGTTGGAGAAGTTTTGGCTCGCAAAAGCTTTGGCTTCAAAGCGGGCGTCTTCAAGCTTGAAAGAGAAAGAGAGAGCTTCCTTCAATCTCTCTCTCCTTCTCTTTCTCGGTTTAGGCTGACGTGACGGTTGTGCTGGTGGCCAAGTAGGCGACTTTTTCCTGGCAAGTCGGTGACTCTCTTCTTTTTTGTCAGCTACCAGATCAATTAGAAACAAAAAGTTACCGAAAAAGATTGCGGGCAAAGATTGTGAAGAAAGCAGTTTGGAATCGGTTTTTGAATTTTTTGTCACGTGACCACCCTCTATCGATGTCCACTCAGCGAGACAATCGATGTCGAAGCCGTCGCCAAACAATCGGAAAGCAACAACAACAAACCCACACAGTGTTCTTCTACTCTTTTCCTCTTCTACTCATCTCATCGACGTTTTGCTGCTGCTGCTGTTGTTGTTGTTGTTGCACAAAGAACACCGAATTATCATCACCGATGTTGCGGATCCTGGTTGGGCAACGAATCCCTTCACTGGCCACCAAACAGCCCACCACTAGGCAATTGGGCTGCTGTCGTTGAAGCGTTTTACCAGTTCAGTCAAAGTTCGAAATTCTGGTCGCCGGTTAATGGTCTTCTTTGAAAAGCCTAAAGTAGAACCCCCGAATCAGTGTCCGTCGTATTTGTTTGAAGTACCTCTCTTTTCTAATTCATCTTCATCATTATCNTTTACCAGTTCAGTCAAAGTTCGAAATTCTGGTCGCCGGTTAATGGTCTTCTTTTCTGAAGAGTCTAAAGTAGACCCCCCAAATCAACCAGTGTCCGTTGTATTCGTTTGAAGTACCTCTCTTTTTCCAATTCATCTTCATCATTATCATCCGTTTTTGTTGTTTACGACCAGTCAACCCCAACAAGCATTCAAATTATCTGCTAAATTTGCATTACCACCACCACCGCCGCCGCCGCCTTTACCATCACCATCATCATCACCAGCACTTTCTCCGTCTGTTTATCTTCGTCTATCTCGTTCTCTCGCACTCCTTTCCCTTTTCCTTTCTCTCTCTCTCTCTCGTTCTGCCGCCACAGGGGCGCTCTTCAAGCGCCAGAGAACTTTGTCAACTGTGTCATGTAAATTTCTTGAATCAAGTGAAATTGTTCTTACTTCACCGCTTAATATCCACCACCAGCACCAGTTGCACTATTTTTACGCCAAAGTTTGGTAAGTACGATCATCCTGTCAAAGAGAACGACATTTTTTTGTTTTAGGTTTGGCGGTGCTGCTGCTGTTGATGGTAATGGTAATGGCACCGCTCTCTCTCTCTCGGCGCGCCGTCTCGATCTATTTAGCTCTGACACTTCTCACTGCTCAATCACTTCATCGTCCCCTATTGAATTGATTATCATTTCTCATTTCTTTTTTCTACTGCATCAGCAGCAGCGAGCACATCAATTACTTGGTGCTCTTTTCGTCAGTTGGTGCAACTGGTGTGCACAGCCTGTCACTGCATGATCATTTCGAGGTAATCCTCACGAGCGATTCTAGCTTTGAATTATCATTTGTTGATCTTTATCAACAGTTGGCGCAAGAATGCCAAAATCGAATCTACTGCCACCATTTAAAAGGCCGACAGTTTAATTAGCTGCTGCTGTTGCTGCCAAGCACGCTTCATTAGTGTGACAGAGCTGTGCAACCCTCGAACAACTCTCAGCACTTCATAGGCACAGGATAGGCAGGAGAAAAACATCTGAAAATATCGCTCGTAATTAGCTATTTGGTGTACTTGCACCGAGTGGTTTCTCTTTCTCAGTTGTCAGCTCCACAGGCAGTCTCTTCTTT